CCCTCAGTTTAACAATTAGTGTTTCCTAATAAAATGTGAACACCTCACCACTCGATCCAAATCCTATACACACAAGTTCTTTGTCCACACATAGCTCACAAATAAACTTACTCATTCCCATCCTGAGATACTACATGTTTCCTGGTTACACTCCTCATCAAAAGCAAAGAGTCAATAATAGATTCACACTTCAAGACATCATCCTTAACCTATTTATACATTTCCTCATAACTTATAAATGCCATATGAGATAATCTAGCAATGCTTAAATACTAATAAAAGGAGTGGAATGGGAATGCAAATGAATGAACAACGTACCTAACAGCCTCTAAACACTTTCCCTAAAAGTCCCATTGGAGTTCGTCCCATGAGACAACTAGAGATGTAGCACGAGAGACACTTACTCCTTTTATGCTTGACCTTGGTGGACAAGTGTACCTTCCTGACTATTTCCCAACAGAGTCATACTAATGTGGTCGAGCACATTGTGTATCCAAAAGATGCTTCAATTAACCTTGGCACTTTTTAGGCTTAAGGCTGGTAGACAAGTGTATCCTCTTGACCATACCAAGTGGGGGTAGTCAAGAGCATGCGCTTAAGGACAATTAGAATTAATTTGAGCTCTATGACTAGCATGTAACCAACCAAGTTGGTATTAACTTAGTTGGAATTAGTCTGACCCCTGCATGTACCACGTACTTAGGGGCAATTGAAACTAATTCGACTTTAACACCCCGCATTTAACCAACCAAATTGGTATTGAGCCAATCAGAATTAGTCCAACCCTTATATCTAATACAAAATCTTATCTTTAATAATCAAAATTACACATCGAGATATAATATCCAATCACGAGTAACGATCTTATGAAATTCCAAAATTATTAGGGTCCATAAACTCACAATGATCAAATATAAAAAACCTTAATCTTAGAGTAAGGATGAACATAATACAATTTTGAATGTTCTTATTTTGATTGAACGACTATATTAACTCTAATAAGTTTGTTTGATATTGAAATAATTATATAAATTAAAATATTAATTTTATCTAAAAATAAATTTGTAGGTACAATGGATCATAAGGCAAACTATATATCACTTGTTTATAACCAAAGAAAAAATAATAATAATAATAATATGAGATTGTGGATGTTGGATCACTAAACCCAAATAAGCCAAAATGTATCTAAATATTTAGGTACTATATGTTAACTTTAGCAACCTAGTTATCATTTCTTAAGAAAATTAGTGTATAGTGATAATAATTTTATGATCACTAAACCCAATAAGCCAAATTTTACCTAAATATTTAGGTACTGTTTAACTTTAGCATCCTAGTTTAGAGAATTAATGTAGCATACACGTTTATATCACTATTAATTTATTTTTGCAGGTTTTTATTTATTAGTAAAAGACTTCCAACCCATGTTCGTACCTAATGTTATGAAGGGACTACAAAATTAGTTTAAATAAATAAATAAAAATCCCTCAGTTGCAATACAAACATCACTATCATGCATATTGATAATCATGATCCGAAGAAAGGCAATAAACAAATGAAAGAACCTAAATTTTGACATAGTTAAAATTATGAGGTATTGTGATCATGATGACTTAAATTAATCTTGCGCATGATAGGAGACATGAGGAGAATAGCATTACGGGATAAGTGGCAACAACAAAGGCAGTGGCTTCCTCTGATGCAAACAAAGGTAACAAAGCCATACTCGAAAATCGAACCTAGCTGCATTACATGGTCAACTATGAATGGATCCCATAGATAAGGTATAGGGTTGGCCTCTGAATATGAGACAGGTGCATTCTGCATACCACTACCCTTTTAGGATTTTGTTTGGTAACCTTACCCGGGTATTCCGTCTCAACTTGGCCTGTTGTTGCTGAAAGAGACGCATATACACAAACTATACCACAAATATTGCCACCTTTACAAATAGGGCACTACACTTTCCATAAAGTCACCGACTCATCGCACACCTTTCTACTTTCTCTTTTAATATAGATAAATTACGTGTATCTTCTAGAGATTATTTTCTTCCATTTAGATAGGATTTGTACTTTCTTTGCCATTTTATTGTCTCTTTACTCACAAACTTAATTGGCATAACATATGAAAATAATTTTTTTTATAATACCTGCAAGTAATTCAAAATAAAAATAAGTTAAATATTAGTCGATCAATCATTAAATTATTAAATAATTGTTTTAAAATTTTAATACTTTTTATGTGTCCCTAATATCGGTACAATAGAGAGTATGTGCTTCATCATATAATAGTTGCACTTATGATTATAAACACTATAATTTGGTGAATATAAAACATAAATAAATTATAGTTAGAATATATTTTAATTCAACTACAAGTATATTATCTCTAATTAATGTGAGACTAAGATTTTTTTCAATACACGTCGTCGTATTCAATACTATTTTTACTTGATGCAAGGATAAATAATGATTCTTTTTAATAATTTAGGATATGCAAGATTTGATTTTTTTTGATACATCCATTCAAACTCAACATTATTGAACTTAGTGTGTGTATAAATGATGGATGACCCTTTTCAACAGATTCAAATGACCATATCAAATAATAGTTCAAATGATCCAATGTTTGTAAGGTCTATCCTAAAATACGGAAGATCAACCTAATACTTTTCAAATCGATATCCATTAATGTTAAAATAATATTTAAGGAATTGAAATCATATTTCATAAACATAAATTAAGTTTTGATTGTCAACTTTGAAACACTCTATATTTATATTGAAAAAAAGGTAATAATAACTGTTCATGAAGACATCGAAACGCAAAATTAAAAGTAACTTGGGCTATAAAGTGAAACTTAAGGATAAGTTTTAGTTGACTTCTGTTCTAATTATCGGGTTTAAAGCATGATTAATATATTCATTAAACATAGAAAGCAGAAACATTGACATTAATTTCCTTAATTATTTCATACATATACATATAGGATAAGGATATGTGTTCGTTTATTTCAATGGTTGCGGAATTTAATCTTTACGCATTTACAGGGTTCCAATTAGAATAACTGGTGAGCATTGTGGAGTGGATTATGCATGGCTTGGCAATCAGATATTCATATCATATTGTGAAGAGTCACCAGCATGCTGAGTGTTCCCGCACATTGAAACAAGCCTCACATATATTGCTTAATCAGTTTACTGTTGTCGGCAGAACAGTGAATACAATGCATGCACCATTTTTCCCTTATTGCCACATGCACACATACACACACTTCTCTCATATATCCATCCATGTTATCTGTGAATATTATTAAATAACAAAAATTGAAGCATGTACTGTGTTGAAAAATAAATTTCACCAAGTAAAGTTCTATTTAATTACTCGACGACTACCTAGCTGGTCTTTATATCTTTATCTTATCACAGAGTGTACTCCTATGTATTTGTGTCTTCAAAATAATTTTGAGTCAAATTAATGATCAGTATAACTTTGATTTATTTATCTTATTCTTATATACGTGACTTTAAATAAGAACCCATACGCGGTCTTTATCTACTTGTTTGAAAGATTGAAAGCAGTCCTGCGTGTAAGTTATTCTTGATAACATCGGAAGACTTTGAAGCATATAGTGGCGGCAAAAGCTAAGCAGAAAGGAAGAGACGTGATGGGAATCAAATCAACACACTCCAACTTGTTAAGATTAGAATATATGTGTTACAATAAAGGCAACATGCCTTTTATTTTTAAAATAATTAAAGGACTTAAAATTCTAATTGAACGTGGTGGCTGTATATTAACACACGGTGGATTGGATATTGGATCATGACTCAAATGTGAAAAGCACCTGCAATTTTTTTTAAAGAAAATGATATTGTATGTCAATCATTTATCATATATATTTATAGTGATAAAGATGAATTTTAGGTAAAACAAGATTAAACTTACAGGTTAGATTCTTATAGAATTTTCTTTTAAAAAGAAAAAGATTCTGTAAGTAGTTCTACAGTTTGCCTCTTTTTGGTAATATATCTAATATTTCTGTTAGCCTACGGCAGGCTACATAAACAGTTATTTTGTGTCCATAACAGTTCTTTATGAAACTCTTTTCGCTTTGTGATTTGGACCGAGAATGTCTGGGTTCCACTCTCACAATCCTAATGGACTTTTTGTATGACTAAGGGCCCAAGAAAAAAAGTTTTATGACTTTATTGTACAAGTCTTTCTTACAAGGTTCATGATATATACACCTCCTTTTTTCTATAAATACACCTCCTTTTAAAAAAATTAAAATTTTAAAATATTCTTAATTTTTTGTTTTAAATTTTTAATTTTACATCCACAACATTTAATTTAGTACTTTTTTTTCACATATCTTTCCTCATTTTTTTAATTTTTACATGCACCTCCTTATTTTTCTCACCCCACCTATTTTGGTAGCATGTGAAAATTGAAAGAAAAAAAAAAGTGTGTGAATAAAAAGAAAAAAGTAACAAATTGAAAGTTGAAAGTGTAAAATTAAATTTTAAAAAAAAATTATAAAATTTTATAAATTTTTTTAAAAAAAAGGAGGTGTACTTATAGAAAGAAGGAGGTGTATATATAATGAACCTTCTTAGTTCTTACAAATGTTTACCTTTCAACATGGGCTCATGAACAAACTCAGAATCACAATGAACTTTTTTGTTTTGATAAGCTACAGAATCTCAATGAACTAAAATTAATCTTGCATTTTCTGTTTGACCCAAGGCTTTGAATAAGGCCTAATAATAAAATTCTAAATCAAATTTGTGCCCAAATATTCTCTAAACTAAAAAAATCATAACAGTATCCCACCGTGTCCAAATAAACCAAGCTTCTTCATCAAACGGTTATAAAAACTTCTGTACCGGAGAGACCGTATCGGTCACGTGGGCCAACATAACACAAACTTATTTCCTTATAGTGGAGGGATCGTATGGTGGCGATTGATAATAAGGGTTCCTCAGATATGCAATGAGAATTGGTACATTCAATTGTCGTGGACTAAGGGGTGATGTGAAAAGGCGTCGTATATCTGAGCTTATTCAATCTGAGGAGCTAGATTTTATTGCGATACAGGAGTCTAAATTGGAGAGGTGTGATCGTGCTTTTTGTGCTCACTTATGGGGATCTACAGAGTTTAAGTGGTTTGCTTCTCCTTCTCAAGGTAGGAGTGGCGGTCTACTTTCTATTTGGAACTCCAACCGAGGTAAATTGGTGTTTACATTTTCTAGTTTTGGTTTCCATGGTGTTTGCTTGAGATGGGGTGTGAATGCGAATAGGTGTGTGGTGGTGAATGTCTATTCTCCTTGTCAGTTGGTGGATAAGCGGCGGTTGTGGGAAGAGATAATCATGTCTAAGCGTGGTTTTGGGAGTTGTTTATGGTGTATAGTTGGGGATTTCAACACGGTGAGAAGACAAGATGAGAGAAAAAGGGTGATTGGTGAATACGGTGCACGGGATATGGAAGAATTCAATTTGTTTATAAGAGATATGGAGTTGATTGATATACCACTAGTTGGGAAGCGATTTACTTGGTTTAAAAGTGATGATTCTATGATGAGTAGGTTGGATAGGGTGTTGGTCTCAGAAAGTTGGAGTGCTCAATGGGGCGTAGGATATGTGGAGGTGATCCCACGTGATGTATCTGATCATTGTCCATTGATTTTGAACCACAAGGTACTAAACTGGGGTCCTAAACCGTTTCGCTTTAATAATTATTGGCTTTCACATAGTGGTATTGAGGGTGTGGTGGGGTCTGCATGGGAGAAACAGGTCCAAGGTACATGGGTCGCACAGAGATTAAGAGGAAAGCTCTTGAATGTTAAAAATGCTCTAAAGAAGTGGAACGTCAACGTGTTTGGTAATGTGGATACCAAGATAAAAAGTTTGACCAAGGAATTAAAGGAGATGGATGCAAAGAATGAGGATTACTTTCTTGCAGAATCAAAAAGGAGTAGGCAAAAGTAGCTAGTGGATGGTATTTAGTGTGCTTGGAGGAACAAACTAAGCTTGTTAGCTCAAAAGGCGCGAGTTTGTTGGGGTAAATATGGTGATTTAAATTCCAAATACTTTCATGCTTGTATCAGGGGAATGCAGCAACGTAACCAGATTATTGCTTTGAAGATAAGTGAGCGAATGGTAGAGGAGGTTTATGAGATCAAAGAGGTTGTGAGGTCATATTTTGAGGAGCATTTCAAAGCTAGAAGTTGGCTTAGACCACGATTGTCACTTGTTGGTTTTCCTGTGTTGTCTAATGCGCAAAATGCAAGGTTGGTTGGTGACTTTACTGAGGAGGAGGTGAGTTGTTTGATTAGGGAGAGTGGTGGAGACAAAAGCCCAGGACTTGATGGGTTTAATTTTGCTTTCTTGAAGAGATTTTGGCCTCTTATAAAGGTGGATGTGATGGATTTGCTTGCTGAGTTTCATACTAACTTGAAGGTTCCAAAGGCTCTTTTGTCTTATTTTGTGACTTTGGTCCCCAAGGTTCCCTGCCCTCAAGGTATGACTGATTTTCATCCTATTTCGTTGCTTAGGTGCTTGTATAAAATTATTTCTAAGGTATTGGCAAATAAATTGCGTGGTATTCTTCCATCAATTATCTTAGAGAACCAGTCTGCTTTTATTCCTGGTAGACATATGTTGGATAGTGTTCTAGTTGCGGCCGAGGCTATTGATTATGCTCAGAAATATAAGAAGCCGATTTTTGTTATGAAGATTTATTATGAGAAGGCATATGACTCTGTGGAATGAGATTACTTGTTGTTCATGCTCCGAGGGTGTGGTTTTAATGAGAGATGGGTCCGGCAGATGGAAGGTTGTGTATGTGGGGGTAGTCTATCAGCCCTTGTGAATGGGAGTCCCACGGCGGAAGTAGCTATTGGTAGGGGATTAAAGCAGGGAGATCCATTAGCACCGTCTTTGTTCCTAATTGTTGCAGAAGGTCTCAGATTGTTGATGACTAGGGCTTTAGATATGAATCTATTTACGGGATTACACTTGGGGGGTGAAAGTCTGCCAATTTCTCTTTTGCAATTCGCTGATGATACTTTGATAATTGGAGAAGCTACTATGTAGAATTTGTGGTGCTTAAAGGCCATATTGCGTTGTTTTGAGTTAATTTCAGGTATATATGAAAATTAATTTTCACATGAGTTGCGTTATTGGCATTCACTCAGGGGTAGATTTTATTGATTTGGCGGCTTCTTTTTTACATTGTAAGGTGGGTCAACTATCGTTTAAGCATTTGAGCTTACCTCTTGGTGCAAATCCTAGGAAGTTGTCTACTTGGAGACCAGTGCTTGATGGCTTACGTAAGCGTCTACCCTCTTGGAAGCATAGACATTTGTCCATTGGGGGGAGGGTGACCTTAATTAATTCAGTTTTGAATGCAATGCCCATCCATTTTCTGTCATTTTTTAAAGCACCGAACTCGGTGATTAAGGAAATTGTGGCCATCTAACGTGATTTCTTGTGGAGAGGTGTCAAGGATGGCTCAAAGATTCCTTGGGTAAAATGGGAAACGGTGTGTAAGTCAAAGGATGAAGGTGGACTAGGAATCAAGAATGTCAGATTGTTCAATTAGGCACTACTAGGGAAATGGGTGTGGAGGTGTATGCTCTCTCCAGGTATGATGTGGGCTAAGGTTCTTCATGGTAGGTATGGGCGCATTGAGTCCTTTTCTAAGTGCTCAAATGTGGATAGGAGGGCTTCTTGGTGGTGGAAGGATATAGTGTAGGTGCTACAACAAGGAAATTTTTGGTTGGATGAAAAGATTGAACGTTGTATTGGCGATGGCATTATGACCTGATTTTGGGAGGATAAGTGGATAGGTGGTTTGCGCTTGTCGGATGTCTTTCCTCGTTTGTACTCCTTTGCCTTTGATCCGTTGTCAATGGTGGGGCATAATGGAACTTGGGAGGGATCTAGGTGGGTGTGACAGGTTAATTGGAGAAGAGAACCTTTTGTCCATGAAGTAAGGAGTGTGAATACCTTGTTGGAAATGCTTCAGGGTCTGCAAATTTTCTCTTTTAAGCAAGATCATTGGAGATGGATTTGTGATAAGGATGGTGTATTCTCAGTGAAAAGTGCGTACCTTTGGCTGCAGCGTTCGCTGGGTGGAGAACTTAGATATTCCTTAGATTTTCATCTAGTCATAAAAAGTCTTTGAAAATGCAAGGCTCCGATCAAGTACTTGGTATTCTGTTGGCAGGTGTTCATGAATGCATTCCCGTGCAAATCATTGTTACAAGTACGTGTGTAGAGTTGGATAACAATTTATGTTCTCTTTACTCTCTGTTTGTTGAAGACCCTCTTCATCTCTTTCTAATGTGTCCAATGACTTTTAATACTTGGTTAGTTTTTGCTAATTGGTTGGAGATTGTGGTGGTCACTATGGCTTCATCGGAATGTTATTATCTTTCAGCAAGGTGTCACGGATTGCAAGGAAGTGTTGGACAACATTAAACTACGTTCATGGAAGTGAATTACTAGTTCTGTCCCCGGTTGTTCTTTTAGTTACATTAGTTGGTATTATAACCCGGGTTTGTGTATCTCATAATCTTTGCTTTGATTTTAAATTCTATTGTAACGGGTTAGAGTACCCCTTGTACTCCCAATAATTTAAATCTTTTTGCTTATAAAAATAAAATGTAACAAAACATAAAAGAATAGAACGAAACATATTCTAAGAATTTGACTTGTTAAGTATAACTAATAATCCCTATATTTACGGTCATCTAGCACGTAGGTTGACCACATTTCTACATTATTGATCTAGAATAGAATAACGAGATGGCTTGCTATAATCTGGTCCAAGGTGAAGATAGTGAAATATTACTGCATAAGTTTTAAACCCTAGGATTGGAAAGTTTTCTGTTGTTATTGCCTTCCGAAGCATCCATCGTTGTTCTCATCAACTCCCGTAATTGGACGAGTCAATCAAATTAATCCCGATGGCCTACACTGCACCATGTTATTGAACATAGGAACAAACCTACATATTATCCCCTCCCCCAAAATAAAATGAAGAAATTAACCTATAACTACCCGGCCATATTTTATTAATTCGACACACATCCTATGCATATAAAATTGTTGCTGTAGTCCTCAAACCAATACTATTGACATTTTCAAGAAATGGTGTAATTAAGAAATGTGTACGGAATGCACTAAATAAAACTGTTCGTAAATACTAGGTAAAATCCCTCTTTCCAAGATGGGGAAAAAAGATATATACTGTATTCCCCTCAGCGCTGCTTATTGGAGAACCGCTTACATAAACACATGCCTGCACTGCACTTGAAAATGTCCACATGTTGTTCCGCAAAAGCCAAAAACTTCCACGCCTCACGGTTCGGAAAAAGTAAGAAGGAAGTTTCTTATGGGGGAGAGCCTGAATTTAAGTTGAGTGAAGTTGCTTTAACATTTTAACTTTAAGTGATGATTTTAGTACAAGATCATGTCAATAAATCGTCCTAGAAGATATTGCAAATCACTCTACATAGGTTCTCGCGATCTATATTAACTGTTAAGGGGTAGACTGGCCGGAATGGCATCCAATATTGCAGGGCTTCATCTGACATCTTAAATTAACTAAGCTTTGAGATAATTGATTGACCCAGATACATTGATTTTATATCTAAAAAAACGCCAACCATCGGAACAAACAACAGTATTAGTGCCTAGGTTTTGAACTTCAAATCCAACCAGGCACTCACGTATTCTGGAAGAACATTACCAAATTAGACTTGTTATCACTTGAGAATATTGAAATGACCAAGACCAGAATTCAGAAGACTTGAGAATATTGAAATGAATGACCTAGACCAAAATTCAGAAGGGTACCAAACTTACTAAGGGACTTCCATTTTATTCAGCCAAGGGGGTATGAATATTACCATCTCTTTTTTATGTTTTTTTCTTCTTTTATGGGCTAAAGAAAATTATTGAATTTGAGTACAAGGTACTCAAAACCAGTACAATGAGTAGTCTTTACAAAGAAATAAATTAATTGAATTTATAAGTATTGCCATTTCAGTAGTCATTAGTCACTATTCACAAACAATGTAGAAGAAAACTTATCAAACGAATTAAGCCACACAGACTCGTTTGTTTATTTCTGCAGATTGCACCAAACCTCAAAACGTAAGGTAGAGAAACAAATTAACAAAGACTACCCTTACAACCAGCAAAGCAAGTAAGCAACCATCTGCACTTTTTTTTTTCTTTTCCAAATCAGTATAACAGGTACATATGTATCTCTGAGCAATCATAGCATATCTATTGAAGTACTAATTCTTAAGCAGAACATGAATTTGGAAAAGTGAAGGAAAACGTACTCAGAACTTGAGAACTCATAGAGCCTTCCGTTCTGTGAGAAGACTATCACAGCTACTTGTGCATCACAAAGAACCGATAGCTCGTTAGCTTTCTTTACAAGACCAGTTCGACGCTTTGAAAAGGTCACTTGACGGCTTGTTGCATCCTCAATTTTCTTCATTTGAACCTTTCCCCTCACCATCTCCTACACATAATCAAGAAGAGGTTAAAATTCTATTCAAGCCCTAGATGGAACAAAATAGAGTAAGAAGAACTAATAAACGAGATAGTACCAAAAAAAAAGAAGGTTAAGGGAGAAAATATTACCAAAAATTAGAAACAGACGTCTTCAAGAAACGCTTCACTCTAATTTGTATTCTTTCTAAAGCAGGAAAGTATAAGATTTTTAACAAACAGTTAAAACCCACAATCTAAAACTTCAAAGGATTCAGTGTTATCAGAATTAATTGATCCGCGAGCTCGAAAATGGATCTTACAGAAAAATAATTGGTTTAGCTTATTGTATACAACATGAACCAAATTAAATTATTAATGTGGTGGAAAATTTAATTTGACCACTCAGAATGACAAATCCTTTGTGTGCAGAGAGACAAAGAGTTCGTGGAGCTTTCAGCATAGGTCAAGGAACATGGAGAAAAGCAAAACTCACAAAAAAATTTTGAGGTTAAAGTAAAAGAAGTGAAGAGAAAGTGTAGGTATAGTGGTATAAAGAAGTGGCTAATATTCGTGAAACCCTAGCTAGAAGAACCGCACTTCCAGCAAAGTCGCATTTATTGTAGCTGTTTCTGAGACCACAGAAGAGGGTATTCCCTTATTCTGTTCATTTTTGTCATCCTTCCAGAGATTCCATATCCCAACAGTTAACCTGAAACCGATCAGAAAAAGAAATGGGGAACCATTTTTCCAATTCTAATGCTTCTTATCTCCTAATTTGTCTGTCTTGTTACGGCAAAATTCCAATAACTATTTAATGCAGAAAGTTTTTCTAAAAAATTAACTTCCCCTACCTATTTGAATAAAAGTTCTGAAGAATAATGATAATTTAAATATTTCACTATTAAAAAAAATTAAACATAACTTAATGTGATGTATGTAATAAAAATTAATTATTATTTTTTTACAAATAAAATTAATTATTAATTAAATAATTGTAAGTTTGTCGTCAAAATTTATTTGGGCACTAGTGTGAACAGTCATCGCGGAAGATTTCAAATTTTCAGATTATGTGTTGCCAAAATAACTTGACAAATTGATTAATTGACCATTTTACGTATCAAACCAGCAAAAACAAAGAACGTGTAGTAAAGAAGCAACTAAACGTACATAAACTAGTTGGGAATAAAGATGACCAACAGAATACTTTGACTAATGCCCAAAACCACGCTTAGACATGATTATCTCTTCCCACAACCGCCGCTTATCCACCAACTGACAAGGAGAATAGACATTCACCACCACACACCTATTCGCATTCACACCCCATCTCAAGCAAACACCATGGAAACCAAAACTAGAAAATGTAAACACCAATTTACCTCGGTTGGAGTTCCAAATAGAAAGTAGACCGCCACTCCTACCTTGAGAAGGAGAAGCAAACCACTTAAACTCTGTAGATCCCCATAAGTGAGCACAAAAAGCACGATCACACCTCTCCAATTTAGACTCCTGTATCGCAATAAAATCTAGCTCCTCAGATTGAATAAGCTTCCCTTAGATGTAGAGTTAGATTTGGTATTTTAATCTTCTATTTTCATGTGTGTTGAAATAATATTTGATCAGTAAAAATCACGTTCCACAAATATAAATTTATTTTTACTTGTTAGCTTTAAAATATTGCATAAATTAAATTCATGAAAAAAAATAACATAGAGGTCTTTTATTTTGTTTTATTTATCCTTAAATTTTGTATTTCTTGATTGTTACAATTTGACTATGATTCCTTCATCAAAAATCCTATATTTCTAATGTTCAAGTAGAACAACACATACTCCATATTTGTTGCTCTAATACTTATAGTGTATTTAGATTATAAGTTTTAAACATTTAGGGGATTTGAAAAATTTAAATTTGAATTATTTTGATTTCAATTTTTATCATTTTTTAAATATTTTATTTAGATAAATTAATTCAAATTTCTTAAATTTTAAATTTTAAATTTAGACATATTAATCTGATTTCTATTATGGGTAAAATTGATTTTAAATATATATATATATATATATATATATATATTGAAATTTTAACACTAAATTTTATAAAAATAAATATTAACCAAT